CCTAATTCTTAGGTAACTAAGTTTATTTAAAAAGTTACATTACAAATTGAATCAGCAGCAATTTCTTCTTGTAGGTCTTTTTTCAGATAAATTTCCATTGTAATATTCTTCTCAAATCAAAGCTTACAGAGTTCCAATTTTTATACAAATATACAATGTTTCCTTAGAACAAAAAACCAAGTGCAGCATGCTACTGAAATTGAGAGTTACTCTAATTTTCTCACCACTAAACACAGCGGTTTGAAATAACAGGGCAAAACAAGACCAACAAGAAAAAATATATTTGCATAAATTCAGGCAGTTATTGCCTTACTTTATTAGTAACGTGACGGTACTTGTTTTGTTTTGTTTTTCCTTATTAAATTCCAGCTCAGAGCAAAAAGATTTTAGATATACAAGATGTATGAAATTTATGTCAGTTTAGTCTAGAAGAGGGTATTTTTAATATAAAAACATCAGCAGGACAGTGATGCGTTTTATTAAATTCAACATACCCAGTTCAATTCGGTGAGTAGAGGGGAGCTCCTTTGTTATCATAATGAAATAGCTGTGTAACCCTTTGAAAGCAAGCAGCAAACTAGCACAAAGCGTATAGTGGAAATTATAGGCATGGCTGAGGAAAGACTCTGAAACAACAAAACTGCATCCCTAAAAAAAAAAAAAGGAAAAAGATGAGGCACGTATAAATTTTGTACAGTAAATGAAGTGTTAACAGAGTAACTAAAAAGACTGATAAACAAATTGTCTCTTTTCAAGAACCTCATCCATATTTTTGCGATTTTCAATAGACTGCAATATCTTAAAAACAAGGTTAAACACTAAATATTGTAAGCTTTCCACCTGCATGTTCCTGAAGCATGTAACATAGCCTTTTGGAACAATTCTTCTCATTTCCCATATCACATTGCACACCACAGTAAGTCTAAAAAAGTTCATTCTTTATCAAGTAATATTTCTGCAGAAAAGATAAAATTCACACTGCCCAAGAAAATAAAAAGCCATACTGATATATTCTTACATCTGCTGATAACTGTTTTGTGTAGTTATTGCCAAAGACCACGCTTTCAAGAGAAGGAATCACAGAGTCCCTGTTTTGTGCTGGTGCATTCCTGTTCAACCATGTATTCTTCACTGGGCGAGGAAAACTGCAAAAACCACAAATGAACTTGTAATTTGAACATACTATGTGTCGCAGATCTATCATAGTTAAAAATAATTATTGATTTTTCTTGAAAAAGAGTAGAAAGCAGGACTTTCAGTAATATCCTGAAAGTTCCTAGCATGGTGGGCTGCCCTTTTAAAACCCCTCAGGATGGCCCAGATACCTCGGTTAAGTCTCTGGTGCTGCACTAAGGGAGCAGTGCTTCTAACGCAATTTTCTTCAAAGCCTGTCTCCAGCTACTTGGAGAAATTTAAGAAACTATTACCCTCAACTGTACAGGACTCCAGGGCTGTAACCACGTGTATCTCCTCTCTTTCAAGTAAAGTGTTAATACTGGTTGTTCCCAAGAGAAGGGGAACGTTGATGCTACTCTGAAAATGAAAACACACAGAAAGTGACCCCCTAAGAAAGGAAGGTGTGCCAATAATGTGAACGTGACCCAAACAGAAAAGCAAACTGTCACCCAGGAAAGCCCAAAGGATGAAGAGGAGTGAAGTCTGCAATGTCCAGGTTTTTCAGAAAGAGGTACTCCAGAAAAGCAAGCATGATATGGATATGGCAAGTATAAAGTATTTGCTAAATATTACAATATGGGATAGCCCAGCTGAAATAAAACACTGTGAATTTGAAGGTTTCCTCCTCTCTCCACCCCAAATTGATTTAAAGGACAACTTGGATCCATAAAATAATTTTGTGGACACCAGTAACATTCTACTCTAAAGATAACTGAAGCAGCATAGAAGTTGCTGTTTTGTTTCAGTATCTCTTTATACAAACTATATCCAGTTGAGGTTTAAATTAAACAACATTATTGTATCACCACTTGAAAAGCCAGAAACAGAGGAAGAATTTTATTAAAAACACCAGATGTTCTGTAACCTTTTAAAAAATCAGAAGGAACAAATACATTTCTGACTGAAAATGAGTAACAAAACCTGTTTTTCATTTTCTCATAACGAAGTGCAGTTTGACCCTACAGCTATGGGACGAATACAGGAGAAACACTTGAATTTCACTTGTGGTACAGTGTGACACTTTACACACATGCTGCTACTTTAAGTGCATTATTTTATCAGATGAAGTCTTCAACAACAATACTAGCTTAAGGTAATTCTAACCTCCTCACTACTTGTTCCTCTCCCAAATAATGATGCACCATCCCTTCAGATGTGCCAGATCAGTTACTATATAACCATGCCTAAAACACATCACCAAAACAATCCAACTTGGAGGGGAAAGGAGACAAAAAAAGAAAAAAAGCCAGTTGAATCTTCCAAACCAGCACAGCCCTGCTGCACAGAACAGCTGTCTAACATACATAGAGACTTAGCTTTCCATTGTGTGAAGACAGGGACAAGCAGCAGGAA